TTTTGTTTTTTTAATAATTTTTTTGAAATCGTAAACCGGGTTAGATTCAACGAACAGTTTTAAAGTAACATTCCAACCTTATATTTTAGAGTAAAACAAGAACGAGAGCACTAGCAAGCCTCAATTACAAAAGCCTCTCCAGTCTAGGACGTGGGGTCTTTGTTAGGTTAAGAGTACTTCTGGGTCTCAAACGTTCCGCTCCAACTTAGGTAGAAATATTTCCAAGTGTTGTTACACTAAACGATTTCAAGGTGGCTCTGTATATTCCAAACTAAAACGAAAGCTTCTAATTACAGTTTATTTATCATTTTGTGTTTACTTCGTTAATATATGAGTTCACTTTTTCCCCTTTTTAATTAAATTTTATTGAATAACGTGTGATGTAAAATACATCGTTTTGATGAATACTTTCTGTCAATTTTTCAAATACTGAAAGCTTAGATTTCCTCTTTATTCTATTACTGTACGCAATAGTTATTGATAGAGTAAGTTTGATGTTTTCATCAATGCTAAAGACTAAACGAAATATAGCATTTATAATTTGAAGTTCAATACATACATGACCTTAACTTCATAAATGTTTATGATCTAATAAATCTAATAATACAATTTTTTTTTAATATCATATTTCATTACTACTACCAAAAGTGGCTATTTCTGTTGTGTACTCAAGTTTTATGTGTGAGGCAAGCCCCATACTGGGACAACCATACTTCACGTGAGAGACGAAGTCAAGCGTGTGATAGTTATTTTCACATGCTAGGAAAATCTGAGGACGAGGATAACTGAAGCAAGCACCGGAAAATCACTAATTTATGAACGTTACTTTTCATCACGACACCTACTCATATACAAAATAACAGATTTTAATAAAATCAAAACTATTATATTTCCTGCTAAAATTAATTTTAATCAATTCGTTTATTAAACTAATGTTCAACTAATAAAATGGACAGTGTAAAGGATATAGTAGACACACATAACAAGGTAAAATTAGAAGTTCAATTTTAAGTTTATATTCATTGTGCAGTAAACACGCACTACAAGCCTAGACACAGCATATGCATTGTTCTTCATTTGTAGCTAATGTGTATTTATGTTCATATTTTGTGTTGTAGAACAATAAAAAAGCTGAATTAAATTTTGAATTCAATTTAAATTCGATAATAGAAATGATCTGTAACAAACACTAACGACTGTAGTGGGCAAACCGAGAACTCATCAAAGGAAAGGGAAAATCAGCTGATGGTTTTTCCTTTGCTCTAGATTAGAGCTTGGGAATTAATTACTTATATAGAATAAAATCTCTTTAAAAATAAAGACATTCTGTTTGGGGTTATGAAAAATATATTTAATATACAATTGATTAATTCATGTCGTCTTAAATGCAAATAAACTCTCTAGGCCAAAAATATGCACAAAGATAAGCTAAAGTTGAAGACTCGCGTGCTCATGTAAGAGGCACTTTCAAACACGCGAGGAAAACATATGTTGTCTGAAATGACTGCAAAAATATTCTTTGCTTAGAAAGTAAACTATTTTTAAAATAGTTGCCAACACCACAATTGAACCACCATTGGCGAAATAGCGATGTTAAATAATGTTCTTATTAATGTAGTTTGACATTTATAACTCATAAACAACAACACAACATCGTGTTAAAAGTATCATAAATTCGATGCTCTCATAAATAAATATTTTATTTTATAAAGCACGCATAAAATACTGTACGGACTCACTTAGAAAAACTTTACATCCCTCACAATTACACGATTACCCTGAATTTGTTTTATTCAAAGAAGAACAAAATACATACACGAACTTATTTCTAGTTAGGAGCATGTTGTTGCTGTTGATGCATTGTTGTGCTGTTGTTGGGCACAATCAACCTTTGTTTGTGCCCAATTAAAACACAGCTCCAAGGTTAAGAACATTTATATTTAGTTATTCCTCTACTCGAAAGTTAAATGGTACTCCAAGGACTGTACTCCAAGGTTCTTTACAAAACATGAAATATACTGAGAACAACTTGAAAATGAAACAAAACTTATTCTATGCTGTTGAGTAAAGTGTTAAAAATTTCTTCACGCAAGGTTCAGTTACGTGGTAGAATGGGAGCTTAAGAAAGCCTTATAAGATCTTAAGTATGACTTCTGAAATTTCTTTCCGTAGAAAGTAATCAAACCAAAACCCTTACTTTCTTTCCCATCATGTCCTTTGGGTTTCCTTCAAGTCTAAAATATACAGATTACAATATAATGTCTAGAACGAATAGATCCAGTTTACAACCCATAAACAAATATTTTCAAATCTTGTTTCATGTTTTGGCCTTCAGATGTATAACTACTCAGGATCTCTTTAACATACATATAAGTATGTTGTCTATTTTCTAAGTGATAGTAGTACTTCAACATTGCTTTTTCTATTTTATGTAGCCTACCTTTGGTTCATAGAAAAAATCACAAATCACTAAATAAAGTTATACTTTTTATGCCTACTTGTGTTCTTTTCCATACAAGCTCCCGGTGCTAACAAAATGTGATTTTATACACAATCTTCTTGAACAAATCCAGATTCAATTATAATATTACTTAGAGTAGTAACGTTATCTGAAGAAGGAATGGCAAGAGGTTGCCTTATCATGACATCAGATCCTCATTAAGGAAGGTGGAAATATTAACACAGGTTTTATAGTATTTTAAGCTTCAAGATTTAGATCAATAGCATTTTTTTGTATAAGTTTGTCTTTTACTAATATTTATAAATAGTAGGCCTATTAATAAACACTATCGTTCTAAAGCGGTCACAGTCCTATAGGTATAAAATATTTATTTTCTAACTACGAACTATGTATTGGGAAAAGTGTGAGCTAAATGTATGTTTTAGCTCATTATTTATATCTTTGTTTTTACTAAATGGGAATATTTCACAATTTATTGTTCTAATAAAAACGTTGAAAACTTGGTCTTGCCACTATCTATCGAAAACCTTTTATTTTGTAGAGCCATCTTTTGATGGCCCAATAACAATATACATATGTGATTCATAATTATAAGTCTTGCTAGAATTTGATTCACTATGTAATTCAACACTTATTTATCAAGCTTCATCATTATGAAACATTGTTTATGCTTCGTTAGTTTAAGATAGTTAATACACTTCAACCACAAGTTAACGTTTTTATTCAGCTCACTAGGAATTGTCCTTAATTTTTAAAACTCCTTCCTAATGTGCATCTAATCATCAAACACGAGCTACAACTCAATTGACTAAACTTTCGTTATTACTGATAAGATACTCAAAGAGAATAAATACTTTTGCAAATCATAGGAAATTGTGGTAATTTTTACCATTTTGTATAGGTGTAACTTTATTTTCTTTAGCAGATAAATTGATATTATTTACAACATTTTGTACAAACATCGTTTTTAATTTACAGTATCCTCACTCTTCCAAATTAATAGAGGCTTAGAGCATTTATTTCGTTAGCAAGTAACCAGTTCTTTGTTATAGAATAGAGACGATATTATATTGCAGTTGAAAACTTCCGATACTGTAATGTAATCGTCTGGTCCAGCCCAGTTACTCTAATGACCAACTAGCCGCAGGAGCCCAGAGTTGTTTATATCCTCTCAATAATACTCTAGACCAGTGAATTCCCCATTACGTAATTGTTACTAATAACGTATCATTTGAAACAGTTGCAATTAACCGTTACACACGTTGACAGAGTCTTTATTGAGTTTAATCATACATTTTGTTTATAATCATTGTATTTTACCGTGCACAGTTTTTTGTGATAACTGAAAAATTGTGACGGTTTAAAAATTAGTTTTGAAATAAAAAAAATGTCTTTTTTATACATTTTCGTAACGGCTCTCATTGCTAAAAAAAGTATAACGGATAGCGCCCAATTAATTATGTTATAATACAACAGGAAAAGCCGTAGTCGCAACCATCTTTTCTTTTCCAATAAAAAAAACCACCTGTGCCGGAAGAAAGTTTTTGCGTTTTTTTCTTAATGATTTAAAAACCATTGGCAGCATCAAATTAAAAACAAAACCAATAAAAAAACTATCTTATAGGAATTGATCCATATTCCATTAAAGAGGTGTTTCCACAATTAGCTAGGTTTTTTTGATTTTCCCATAAAACCCCATAAAATAACGGAACAATCAGATTTTCCCAAAAAATGGCCCGAACGATTTTGATAAAAATTTAGTATGTTATAGTCCTTTATATTCTGAACAAAATTGTACAAATCCCATTTCTATAAAAATTACGGTTCAAAATTTATTGAAAATAATGTTATTTTCCCTTTAAAAGCACCATTAAATAACGGAAATAATTGATTTTCTAAAAAATGGCTAGATCGATTTTGATAAAAATTTAGTATGCTATATTCCTTTAAATTCTGAACAAAATTTTACAAATCCCATTTCCGTACATTTACTCTGACCGCTGACACATGATAAAGGTTGTTGACAAACTTATGGGAGAAAGTATGTGTCAGAATGCTGATACCGTTTATTTGATTTGATTTTAATTACTTCTTTCCTTACAAAGCACGAAATGAAGGAAATAAGATCATTAAATTATTGATCGACTTTACGTGGGAGCTTTGACTATTAATACAACTTTGACAGACAATTCAGTCTGCAATAGTCAATGGTGGGAGTGATGAATAATATGATAACTTTCTTAGTATTGTAAACACTTAAATTGATATTTAAGGTGTATGTTTAGAATTCTTAGTTTTTATTTTATTTACTTCTATCGTTACAATGTAATGCAAATGTAACTGTCATATAATATCTTAAGTCATTGCTAAATTTGGTTCATAAAACTCAATGGAAAATAAGGATTTTTTGTTGTTATTTCTATAGATTACATACTTTTCAGGGTTGTCACCTTTAACTGGTAATTGATTTAGATTGGTACGAACTGTGAGTTACGACATTCAAGGAAAAATAAACACATTGAATTTAATAGTTTTATTTTAAAGAGTAATGGCTAAAATAACGTTACGATAGAACAATTTACAACAAACGCCTAGACTTATTACATTTCCAACAATATAAACACTCATATTAAAATATAAACATCAGAAGCGTAGCGAGCATGACTATACAGAGCGTTGAAGGACGAGGATATGGTGCGATTGGTTGAGGAATGGTGCTTTGGAAGGTTGGAGGGTGCGATGGTTTGGTGGGGGGGGGGTTGCGATGGCGAGGGGGGGTTGTCTACGGGGCTCAGATACAACCCACCCAACCCATCACTGGGACCAAGCATGGTGGGTTGAAGGTTAGGTGACGCTAAACAAGAGCAACCAAGTAGAACAGACACATTACATCTAGTAGTTTGTCTTTTAATATCATTTCGTTACATATTAGCTGAGGTATTTGAAATTTAACAGTCTTTCAATACCTAAGAGTACCGCTCCTATGTACAAAAGTCAATATTTACACCGAAATTAAGTGTTCAAGCACTAGGTATATTTATTTGGGAAAGTAGGAGATATTTGTGTTCTAGTAACCTTTGTTCCATCAGTTGAAGCAAATAAAGCTTGAAACTTTACAAACTACAGAATAATATTATCAAAGTGACATTAAATGCATAAGTCAAACCAAGTTGTAAGACAATAAGTTTAACAGTATAATTAAATTCATATAATTACGTTTAAAGATGTTAATAAATTTTACTAAACCAAAACTACATGGTTATAAAACTAGAAACAAATAAAACTGGACTATTTTCTGGTAATGAAATACACAAATGTTATTGGTTGAATCTTGGAAGAAACATACTACAGTATCCTTGGATATACTATGTTTAAGAAATATTGTCATAAACACTTAACAATTCCAAAATTATTAAACACGTTCCAAAACAAACTATAACACTAAACACGTTTTAAGAGACAAGTATAAAAAATAATAAAATGCTTCATTAAGAGTTTTCACTAATATCACTTCACGGGGAATTTCCATATTGTCACTAATATCTCACAAAGTCACAGTTGCACCTCGATATGTAACGGTTACACAGTGCTGGAGCTTTTCTCACTACTGCTGCCTGGGCGGGCGCCATGGCGGTTGCCTAACTACAAAACAGTCTCGTTGGTACACGTACGGGGACCGTTGACTAGGGAATACCTGGAACTGCCACCACCGTTGCGTCGTGTCACCTGTAAAAAGTAACAGTTGCACCTCAATATGTATTAGTTACAGTGCTGGAGCTTTTCTCCCTACTGCTGTCTAGCTGAGCGCTATGGCGGTTGCTTAACTACAAAACAGTCTCGTTGGTACACGTCCGGAGACCGTTGACTAGGTAATACCTGGAACTGCGCCACCGTTGCGTCCTGTCACCTGTGAAAAGTCACAGTTGCAACTCGGTATGTAATAGCCACACAGACTGGAGTTTTTTTGGAACCCCTTTCAAGAGATATTATACATTTGATTGTTAAAGGGCATAGTTAATCCAAATTTGCACACGTGTAAATAGGGTGTAGTACATTACTATATTAGTAGAGAAATTGAGCCGAATGAACAAATCTGCTTTTGTTAGTGATTTATTTGGTCAACTATGAGGACTTGTCAATATAGTCATACCGTTAATCAAAACAGTGAACTTCAAGTTAGCTTTTAAGGATTACTATTTAGCAATATTGGTCATTACAACCACTTGATTAAAGTAACTTTTTTCTTGAACCCTCTTACCACATAGTGAGAGTATTTTTTCATAGCTCATTTTATAAAAAAAGTATAAACTTCTACTGTTTCGATTCTCACTACAAAATTGCAGTTATACTACAAACATCCTCAAAAGGTATAAACCAAAACAGTACCTGAACAGCTCCTCGAATGAACAACTCCTTGAACGTCTCTCGGAACTGACGGCTCATGCCGCAGTAGATGGCGAAGTTGATCGGGTAACTGACGATGATGAAGAAGTTGGTAAACAGGACCAGGACATTAGCCAGGTGGTAGTCCAAGAACTCCTTGATGCTGCTGGATATCACGTGAAGCACCTGTTCAAGTGGTTGAATTACACAACTATCATTGAATAGGATCGTGTATTTTTATTAAGCTTCTGAAGAGGAAAATCAGTATCAGTTGGCATATTTAAGCTAGCTCCAAAAGCTATACTTTAAGATATGTTTATGTATACTACCATAGGTTATTGATCATTTTACTTATACAAGTATTTTCCCATAAAGGCGAGCGTAAAAACACGTTGTTGCTACACGATCGCCATATGAGATTCACCTTGGTCGGCCATTAGTTTAAGAAAATTACCGTAAAGAACTTTAAGAACATAAGCTAAAAAGTCGTCTCACAAATTAAGTTTACACTTTTTCAAATCTAACTACTCATTTTTGATTTACAACAATTTTAGTGACAAACACTATTCACTGGGTATACCTCAAAATCTTCGATGGCTATCAGGCAACTGTAGACTTCCACTTTATATAATCATTCACATAACCTATAAAACCTCAGACTCACCGTGACAACAGCCAACGGTATCTCGGTGCACAAGAAGACAGTGACTACGACGATGAGCATGAGAGTGGTACAGTTGGAGTCTCGCAGACGCTTACATTCGCTCTTACGGTTCTCCTTGAGCAACTTGTCCCGCTTGAGCTGGGCGTCTCGCAGCGCTCGGAACAACAGCACGTTCAGCACCACCAGACAGATGCAGGGGACCATGTGTACGAAGATCACCCGGAACCCGAAGTATACGGTGAAGTAGACGTCCAGGGACAGCCAGTGTTCCACCCAGTAGGCGAAACGCTCCTGGATAAGCAGTTTGGGAGAAATCTTTAATAGTCAACCATAAATGAAAATCAAATTGTTATATTTGTTTTAAGTGTTTGGTGACCTCTTTTAATTTTGCATTTTCCCGCGGAAAAAAAACTACCTTTAGAACGTATCCAGTAAAGCAAGAGGTACAGTACAAATATGAATTGCACTGATAAAAGTTAGAGGCAGATACCAGGATTCGAAACCACGACGTTGGCTCAAAGTTCGTGGGGCATTTTTGATGACAGCTTCCGGATTACGTTGAATATATAAATTTGTGTAAATACCTGTGTCTGTGTAATTCAATAGTTGCAAAGTCACGCGAATAATTTTAACATCTGATGAATCTGATGAAGTGATTGTGACATTTTCTGGACGCCTGAAGAGGACTTCTTCAAGAAGTTGAAACTAGTCACATGACTTTGCAACTATTGGATTACACAGAAGAAGGTATTTACATAAATTTATATATTCGTGGTGTCACCGACTGAGGCGCTGACTCACAAAAATTGTCAAGTAATAAAATAGTCGAGGTATATCAGATGGATTTTAGTTCAGAGCTAGACCAAATTGAGGTTTAATAGATGGACTTTGTATTGTTAGGTTCAGATTTTTATTTCCAGGAATATGAGTAGTTAAGCTAAGCATAACTACTATTAAAGGTTTCCTGTATTATCTTGGTTTAATTAAGAGTAACTATATCAAGGACTGATTGAAAAATCCGTAAAACTAGTAATGACAATCTTTATTTTCATGCAAAGCTTAACAAAATTAAATATTATATCCATTTTAGGATATTAACTTTAATTTCGTTATGTTCAAAAAATTAAATATTTCTAATAATTTAAGTATTGTACAGCATAGTTACGGTTTAGTGTGATATGTATTATTTATTTAAGAGTAGCTGTATATACTAATTACCCTAAACTAAAGTACCTACCTACGTATGTTTTTATGGTTATATGAACTCCACTATAATCATGCTACAAACAGATTAACTTATTATCAAAATGTGCCAACAAAAACTTTTGAATCAGAAATTAATACAATCGGTTAGTTTAAGTCAAAATGTAAAAGAACAAGTTTGAAAACTATCAACACCAACCATGGAACAATGATTGTATATGTTTAACAATGTTAATAGGCATATGTCTTACCCTACAAACTGTCACAGCATCCTGGCCTCTCCAAGAGATGGTGAGGGGTTCATACACCCTGTCAATGAACCGGGGGAATTGATGTAGAGTTGCCAGCACAGCGATCCAAGCGACACATTTGAGAACTCGAGGCATCGTGCACCACGTCCTGGCTACGGGAGCATGGCACACGTAGATGTACCTGAACAAATGAAACATTCGATGTAAGACATGTAGAAAATGTCTAACAAGTTTAGGAACTGGTAAAGAGTGGCACACGTAGAACAATGGACCATTCTGTCTTGGACACGTAGAGAATATATAACGAGTTTAGAACTAGTGTACACTTTAAGCCTCTCACACACTACCAGACCAGACCGTCCGGTATGGTGTCTGGCACGTCGTATCGTGTGTGGGGCTGTCTGCGGACCAGTTTTCTCAGACCAGACTGTCCACGTGTCTGATGGTTGGGCACCTGCTACATAAACCTTCCACAGTTATCTATAAAAATATAATTAAAGGACACACATATAAGTGTTTAAATAAAAATCAGAGTATGGAAAGAAGCAATTAAAGATAACTAAGGTTGGAAGATACAATTTCTTATACTGGTATGTTTATAAATGTCCGTTGCTACCTTGAATTCTAAAAATTCTTACCCATGTTGAGCTTTTAATAAAAAGTTAAATCAAGCTCATAGGCCCCGTTTATGCACCAAGTGCGGGAGCGGTGCGATAGCGGGCCCGCTCCCGCTGTAAATGAGTCTGTTTATGCACGAAGAGCGATAGCGGTAGCGGTTGGTTAAAGGAGAATGGAAGGGGGACACAGTCTTGCCAACTCAAACTCTGCCAAATAATTAACACAACTATTTGTCCTAAGTGCACGTGCGCGTGGGTCAAGTTGGCAACCCTGGCTTCAGCCCAAGCAACCGCTGCGATTCCTAACTACACAGCGGGCGAATTAGAAATCGCAGCGGGAGGTCAACCGCTATCGCTATCGCTCTTGGTGCATAAACAGCCCCATTTAACTCAATGGTGTTAGAAATCGCTCCCGCTGTCGCTACCGCTACCGCACTTGGTGCATAAACGGGGCCATAGATGTAACCACAACCAGTTATTATTGTGGTTATACGATTAGTATTCTTTAAACATGAGTTTCACATCTAGACTAGAATAGATAACTAGTAGTATATATCGTGAAATGATATTCGTTTGTAAATCTAAGGTAATCGTACAGTTAGAGAGTTATAAAACTACTATCCTTCTGTTGTTCAATGTAAACTAGATTTAAAAAAATTGTGTTTACAATATACATCCTGATTTTGTACACACCATATAACTAAACTTTATGGTATATTTCAAAATACGAAAATAACAATAGTAAACTGATAATCTACTACTCAACCAATTTTTCTGTGGTTCAACAACCATAAAATGGGAAAAATGTTATAACCTCTCCTAAAAAACTAAAAAAAGCAAATATACCATCATAAATCATAAATCGTTAATAGATTGTATCTTGCCAACTACATAATAATTAGGGATAAAAGGTCAAAGTGCTTTGCTGTAGTCCATTAAATATAATCCGGACGTATTAAATCCACAAAGTGTTAACTCAAAATGGGCGAGATTAGCGGAGGATTATCAATCCCAACCAGTTCTGATAGAAACTTCCCTCCATCAGCAAAAACTAATTAACATCACTGCTGATCCCACTCTCTGGCCCGTGAATGTATTTATATCCGAATATTGAATTCCCTCTGAAACAAGAGAGGCTACGTTCTCTGTTCAAGGCTTCCCATTCAGAGTACCTCAACAACTAATTAACAAAATAATCTAATTAGTATGCATGTGTATGGCTTGGAACCGAATGCATTTCTGATTCACAAATGTATCTGTTTCATAATAGTTGAATTTTACAAATTCGTGCTATTTATTAAAATTAATTTGTTATCGGGAAATAACAATGATTACCTACGTACAAATACTTATAATATTAAATCTCTAATTCGGTGTAATTTTGAAAGGGCAACAGCACTCCTTTAATATATTTTAGAATAAAAAAAAAGTTAGGGTAGTAATTAGGGTATAGCTTATCCCTCAAACAGAAGTATTAAGCATCTCAATATAAAATGTAGCTATAATTGCTACCTCTTGTATTTTTACAACATTTTCTTGCATTTTCTTGTATTACCAATCCACACAATTTGCATTTGGATACAACAACACTAGTCTTTTAAAACATACCTATGACTCTTATGCTGTCTAGCTATCCTTCATATTCTGACATAACAGCACTTCCAGATAATTTTTTTACCTTTGTACAGCAAGGGCCAACGTAAGCCAGATGGAAGCAGTGTGAAACAATGCCGGAATGACTTCGTTCATGAACGCCCAGGCGTAGCAGGCACCAACAGGGGTGAGGGGTTTGTAGTGGTTACCAAACGTGTACATGTAGAAGAGCCATGGGGCGGGGAAGAGTAGGGTGAACATGTCCGACAGAGCCATCGCCATCAGCACGGCGTTGGTGGGGGTGCGCATGTGCCTCTTACTCAGCACTACTACTATCAGCGTGTTGGCGACAATGGTGATCAGCAGCAGAAACGGCATCACATAGCTGTAATGATACAAGTATGCTATCAGACATCAACACTGCGTTGGTGGGGGTGCGCATGTGCCGCTTACTCAGCACCACTACTATCAGCATGTTGGCGACAATGGTGATCAGCAGCAGAAACGGCATCACATAGCTGTAATGATACAAGTATGATACTGCATATCTTTCTGCGTGTGTACCGTCAGGTTCTAAGGTGTACTTTATCCTTACTGAAAAAGTCAAGCCTAATAAAGTAGGCGAGTTTCTCTCTCCCCAATGAAAGACCTAATCGCCCGGAAAGGTAATTTGGACACGATTTTCACAACACTGGTAGAGGTTGCCTTCGTAACAGAAATTGGCCTTTCTGGTCAATTCCTACCTCAAGCAATTAGAAAAGGTATTAAGGAAATTTGTAGTCGAAGTTACCACATTAAAATGTTTTAGTGGTACATAATCCTAAAATTAAGTATTTAGGTAATGTATGTCTGTTTCTAAGTCTTTATCTTTTACTTTACATTTCCCCGTGTGGACGGAAGGCCACTGAAGCCGGTGCGTATCCAATATAGCCAGGGATGAGCCAATATGGTACACGGATAAACTATACTGATCAAAATTAGTGGCAGGTACTAGAACCCGAAACCACGAAAGGAATGCCTTTGTCCTAAAGTTTTGGGTGCTACCGACTCACCAAATATTCATCTAGGTTGTACTTGAATGATTCCACTATTTAACTTAATTAAGTAGGATATATCAATACAATACGTCACTATAGCACACTTACCCATACATGGGCTGAGCATATTCTATAGGGAGCTCAGACGTAACGTTTATGTAATGCAGGGTTCTGTTAGAGGACGCAGTGGTCGAGGTGAGGTTCCAGTCTTCCAGAGAGAAGTTGAGGTTGACAGCTGCTTCCGTGGTCAGTGAGAGAAACTCCACCACATCCAAACCCTCCATGACTACGCCCTGCTGGCAGACAGTTAGACTATAAATCCTAAGCTCTAAAATAGTGATGTGTATACTTCATTCATCCATAGTTTGCAATCTGAAGATAACAAGTTAAAATTGTAATAGTTTTAAATAGTATTTTGGTAGCAATATTTCCAAAATTGTACAATAAATTAACATGTTGACCGTCAGCTATAATGATCTATTGGCTATGTTAGCTGTATTGATGTATATTGTAGCTATATTGGGATGTTAGCTAAGTTCATCTATTGTCTAAGGATTAACTATACGATCTTTACTATAAGATATTGAAATCTAAATGGTTGTCAACAACTGAGCAGCTAATATTATTTTATAGCCATTATACAGTAACTGGAAGTTTTTACAGAACGTTAAACATGATGGTTAATATTTGGGACAACATGCAAAGATCATCTTTTAAGTGAAATAAGTTTTAAAATAGAAAGGTCGTCAAAATAGAAATTATAAAGATAATAAAGTTATATTTGTAAATATAACTATACAATTAAGTGGTGGTTAATGAATCAAATTAAGTGGTGTGTCCATTAGACAAGACTTATGTTGTGTTATCGGAGTTGGTCAAGACGTTGCGTCTTTTTTTTTAAGTTTTGATAAATATTTGAAGTATTAGAACACTAAAATATTAAAAATATTTTATAATTTGTGTATAAGGGACATTATTAGAAGAACATATTCTATGACAATGTAGGATATTAACTGGTCTCTACATTTTTCATTATATTGGCATTTATAAATTTGAATGGAATAAAACAGATTTCTCAATATTCTATTGTCAAAATTTCTTGAATATCATTTTTGAAAGGGAGTACCATTGACTATACAAAGAATATAATTTCCATGTAATGTAAAAATTTGAAGCAAAGAAAATAGGTTCAGGGCCATCTCACCAGAGGGTACAGTGTATTGAGCTAAATAATAAATATAATCAATGCGGTGTCATAGCAAACAACTGATTGATCTATTACTTAACACAAAATATTGGCATTAGTTGGTAGACCATCTCAACATATTGCACCACGTTTTATGGATTTAAATATTTTCATTGCATGGGTAAATTGTATAAGTATAATATATATAAAATAGTTAGATAGTATAAAATTATATACATTAATATAAGATAATTTAATACTCACTGTTAGTTTAATTGATTTTTCTTATCATTTATGCGCCATCTGAGAAAAGAGAAAATATACAAATAATATGGTTTATTTAATTATATCAACGTATCATCCCTGATTACGAAAAATATGTATTTACTTTGCAATTAAACATAACATAACTATAAGTATTAATCAGACCATTATACACAGGAAATCTAAGTTTTTTAGTTATATCATGACAAACATATTGTAAAATTAAATAACGTATATACCGTGTTGGGAGTAGGGTTGGTAACAATCAATGTTATAAAAGGATTAACAAATTGGAATCGTAATTATCTGATAAACAGACATTTAATCATCCACAAAATTGCGCACACCGACATATAGACTCACTTGACGTTTAAAACAGATAACGGTTATTTTGTCATACCAGATTACTGAAAATACAAATAATATATTTAATAAAATCCCTAAACAATATAAATTTTGTTCAGAAGTCTTTCGTACAATAGTATCTGTTGGGCCATGTATTTATTTTACAGTTTATTTGTTTCCCAGGTTCTCTAAATGACTACGAAGATTTTGATTATCTTTTTAAAATTATATGTTACACACGCAAACGATATACTTCAAGTGCTAAGTATAAGAAACCTAATGATCAATTATCGCACAAGTTACATCGTATTTCTTGTGTGATAATGAAAAGAAACAAAATTTAACCGTCATAGAACTCTCTATTTATATGCTCTTTGATAATATGGAGTGCGCTGGTTTGGCAGTGAGAACGTAGGAGTTTTTCTGTACAGTCTCAAGATAAAATAAAAGACTTTGATAATACCAACCCATTGGGTTGAAGCCTACCTTAAGCTTTATGTTGTTTCAAATAATAAAAGATTTGTCAAGATAAAAGAGGAGTAATGCCGTATGTTTTAAATATTTCTCCCTACAAATAAACTTCCAGCAGATAAATTATTAAATAGATATTTGTATATACTAGAGCTCACCCCGTGGTCAAAAACTCGACCAAAAGTATGTATTGTGAAAACTTCTCTATTTTCACCCCACGCTGTAGATAAAACATGTGATTGGAATTTCTTCCATTTCTTTTGCTTTTCTTTTTATATTTTGTGTATTACCTCATCAACATGGCAACTCATAGATCCCATGTAATTTTTGTTATAATTTATTTATTTTTTGTGCTAATTTTTTTGCCTATTAAAATTTTTAAAGGTATTCTGCACATCGAAAGGCAAATATCTTTCTGCGTAATCAAAACAGTTTGCGTATATTTTCCCTGCGATGCACACGAGCTGAGAAAAGAGGTTTTCAAAATGCATGTTTGTCAATTAATATATAGAATTAGCCCCATGTTAAATTTCCATAAGAAAAGTTGAATATTTAATTTTTGACCCAATTAACATAAATATTCTCAAAATACGAATAAAACCTGCACATATAGGACCAGTAACCTCTTTTTGTACAACCCGCGTGTAAATTGGTCCAGTAGTACGGCCAGGGTGGCTGTCGTGAGCTTAAAGGTTTGGTCCCATGTTAAACCTACATAAGAACAGTTGAATTTCCATTTTTGACCCAATTGACATAAATATTTTCAATATACAAATAAAAGCTACACATATAGGACCGACGACCTTTCTTTTTGTACAACCCGCGTGTAATTCGGGTTGTACAAAAGTACAGTAGTACAGTAGGCTAGCTAACATAAATTTTGGAAAAGTTGTTTTTTTATATATAAGATTGTTTGGGAAACTATATAGAGCCAATATGTTTGAATAATTTATAAAATGCCTATGAGTGAAGCATGTGTTTTTATATATCAACGTTTCCCTTGCTATTTATTGCTATTATCTCGATCAACAGATACAACAGTTGATTTATAAAAAAAACATTAAGTATTTGGATTTGTTCTGCTAACTTATGTAGATTGTAAATTACTGGCAAGCCGTTTGCAGTAAAACATGTTTCAATTTACCCATGTGATTATTCAATTGTCGAACAACGTGCGGGATTTAGTGCTAAATGACAACAAGGCAGATTCAATTAGGATGTCCTTGATTAGTAGCTTAACGGTGGAAATACAAAAATATATTTTCCGTTTATAAACTTTGGTTACACCACCTAAGTGTTCTGTAATGTACAAAAACATGATTGTCCACTACTCCATAATAGAAACCACACGTAAACTAAAATATTTAATCATTAAACTACCCAAATATAAACATGAACTATTCTACTAATCTAAACAACTTTAATCATATTATAACCAACAAAATGGAGTATTTTTTATTTATTCTTTAATTTTGCATTAATTAACTGCTTGTGTGTCATGATGGTGGACACAATGCTATGTTATGAGATAATGTTTCGTAAACAAAAAAATTCTATCCATGAAAACAATTTTTTAAATGTATGTATGGATATTCCTTAGAATATTATCACTTTATTGATGTTAAGGATTTACATGTTTTGTAGTAAGACCAGTCATAAGAAATCAAAAGTCAGAGTTCTCAAAAGCATTTACTGTAACACATCAGCTTTTAAAACTAATGTACGGTATTTAAGGTATCACTTTACTCGTCAAAAGTAAATTACTTTTCAAAGCAGTGCCATTTAATTTGCACAGTGTCACTGTTCACCCTGATGCAAAAACCACAAAAAGCATTTAAATGTGTGACTGGACGTCCCTGCTTTACATGATCTCAACTGACAATATTTGACATTTTAGTCACATTTCATTAAACTTTCCCACTTGCTTTTTAAACTGTCAATTTTCACATTACTTTGCTTACCAACAGAGATTTACTTTTAGTTTACTAAAACTAGCATCTATCTCTAAAAAGGATAAATAGCAACTTGACTAAATGAGAACATTTGATAGTGATAGATTGGTTCAATGGTGAAATAGAGCTCGAGGAGTCTTATAATAGATCTGTTTCTGCTTCTTCACAATGGTAGAACTGTTTATAAACACCTCTTCACTGGCTCAATCATTGGTTCAACATATTATGGGGGGATCTAGTAAGTAATTTTATCAAAAGGAAATTCCTTTAATACGTTTGGGTTTTTTTAACGGTGACCTTTGCAGTTTTATTTACAGTTTTATGTTTATAATATTTGAGTCACTAGAAATATTACATTTCAACCAGTTCACAGAGAATTAATTTTCGTTATTTAAATCAGTCCTGGTTTTTTATTAGTTTCTGTAAATGAGATGCAATTGGAAAAGCAAATGTACAATATAATATTTTAACAAATGCCTAAGTCATTTGGAAGAAGAAAAATTGTTTAAGTACTTAAGAGTTTTTATTTTTACAAGGGTTTCGATTTTGAACACTAATAGCAACAAAGGATTTAGATAACAGCAAAGCAGTTTCCCCTAACATATTGTTGACAAACTCATGTTATTCAATCTGGGGACCAATATGCATGCAGAGTTATGCAATGCATGAAGCTTCCCTGTATAGTAATGAGTGTAAGAGTAAATCTTGCACCGGTGTTGCATATAAAGTATGCATTAATTCTAACACCTAAAGTATTCCAAGAGTCTTGGTGTACTTTGACCCAAAGTTAGCTTTCACGCCAAGGATCTTGAATCATCATATTTGTCAAAGGTTACAATAAAATGTATTACATTAAAATAGAACCTATTGGATATTGTTTTAAGCATAATATCTTTTCATTATCAATGATAGCTATTTCAAGACAAATGAGGAGGTTTTTAGGTCCAAACGAGTTTATTTGTTTCTTAACTTATTATTTAATTAATTTATAGCTTAAAAACTTGTGTTTTACATCCGGATGGATACTAGTTTGCGTAGATTTAAAATAAATCTAAACATATTAGGGATAATTTTTAAATAGTCCTCATTTTACACATTTTCATGTGAAATTAAAGTATAGTACATTTTATTTGTTAAATTTATACACAAATAACGAACTACTAGATCAGGTTTTTACTACATGAACAAGGTTGATTTGCAGTGTTTTCAGTTTAGCTGCGACAAACATTATAAAGTGAATCTGTTTTAACTAAAATCCACAAAAATACGCTCACTTATTGAATATTTGATTCAGTAAAAACCCTAAAGCCCACATCACTTTAAAACCCCTCCATAAAAAAAACTATCCATGCTAATGAACACAAAAGCTTATGCAATAGAATAGGTGTTACGTTGTGTACCTCAAGGTTTTAATTTAGAAAAGCTACCAATGTGTTTGAAAAAAAACAAGGTTCTCAAGTAGTGAATAGGTTTAAGTGTTGGGTTTAACCAGCTTATTTGAATACAAGATATGAGGTTAAATCCACAAACCCATATGTGCTCAGAAGCAGTAAGGATTGTTGAGAAAGTTAAATCAGTTCTAAAGAAAATTGGAACTCTTACCAAGTTACGATAGTTTTTCATCGAAATCCCTCCACTTAAGGCTTTATATGTATATAATTGCATAATCATTATGTAATATGTAATATATGTAATATGTAATGTAATTTGTACATAAAATGATTTGTGTAAAAAAATACATTTGTTCAACTTTTTACATTATTTAACCTTAAGCTTCCGTGCATTTACAATCGAACTTAAAAATATCTTTTGGCGAATAATCAAAATCATAAATTGCCTATTTCTTTATGCATTTTAGAACGATGTTGAAGTTTTTATTTTAAATTGGAATGCAGTATTGTTTAATAGTGTCCATAGAGTTATGGGTCGAACAACCTGAAACATTTCGTATTATGTTTTTCGTATCAATCTCATTGTTGTTAACTACGGCAAACATTACCATATAAGGACTTAAAGACCAAATGACTTTATAAATTTTAATACAGTTTAAGATACAAGTTAAATCAATATTCGTTTTGAAATATATTGTGACCGTAGATATTTTTGTCTATTTAAATACAAATTAAATGTGTTTTAAAGTTATTTACATAAAAAAAATCAATAAACAAGACATAAGTAATCTTTAAAAAATATAAAGCATACATTTGTACTTACCATTATGTTGTAATAGTTGTATTTTTCAATCTATTAAAGAAACTGACGACAAGCATCCATTTTTCTGAAAAAAAAAAACAAAAACATTTACTTCATCTTAAGTAGAATAAAAGTATTTTTTTTTTAAGCTATAAACAACAGTGTCACAACCTCACTAATCGTGTAAATGTTCAAAACAAGTGGACACATAATTGATCACATTAGTTTTTTCGATACAATACAAGTTTCCATCACTCGAGTCATCAACCTCGCATGTTTATTTATTTATTTTTATTTATTTATTTACGGCAAAATCACTATATATACAATTTCATGCATAACAATTTGTGGATCAATAAATACTATTAACACGCTGTTACGTGGGTTTCTGAGACAGTGTTACAGGATGATGAATCACTTCTCATTGTTACAGAGAATGGTACAGAGGCATTAGTATACACTATACAAACACCTGACAAGCTAGGCATTCTCGTGAAATATATGCTGATTTTTGTTTTTTTTTGTCCTTCAAGACGTTGAAAATATAAACAATGTTTTAATAAGCTATACATTTTTTTACTGGAATTGTTTTGTTGGTTTTAATTATGTTGTATGCACATGGTATGTTGTTAATTTAAAGTCACCTGTACATCAACCCATAAGATTGTTTGCCAAATTTTATCCATATATGTTAGTATCAAGGCAAACTACAGAAATCAGTCATCCACCATAGGATAACAGAATACATAGAATGCATAGAGGTACAAGTTTTATAATTTTTTTGTTTTCCTGTAAAGTCATTAAGACTAAAAGACTACTCGATGCTGGGCTTAAGCATAACTGTGATATCTACGGTAATACCTTCTTGTTATTGAGGGAATCTGCCAAAAGTCTTTATGTAACGTTAATTTAATTTCTTTTTTCATGAAACAAATAAGGTTCGGGGCACAATGAAGCTTAATTACAGATGGAATACGATTTAAAGCTGCGTTTAATGTTACAAAAGAGCCATGGAACTTTGGACTAACTCAGTTTAAAGCGTTAACATTCATGTGTCATTGAGGTTTCCTTTGACAACTTTTAATTCTGCAAAAGTTTACGTATAGTTAATACAGAGTTTGTAAAATGGTGATTTACATTTGATAAATCAAATAGATCAAGTCCATATGCAAAACGTTTTATAATATATTATATCTAGTATATAAAAATAGTTTGGAGATTTAACTTAAACTTTTATTGGAAATAAAACTTTTGAACTAGTTATAGTATTATTAAAATTAATTTTAATCCATACTGCAATTTAACAAACACACTTAATATATTATACAATTAAGTTTTTTTTTTTATTATATACCACACTATTTCAATTATTTATTCTTAACTACTACAGTTTTTTATGAAAACCAGGGTTATATCAATGTAAATTTGTATGGAAGTTATAATTTTATCAATTACCATAGATCTTGGTTTGGTAGAAAAACCGTTATTTTGTTAGATCAGCCATCGTTTTTCTAGAATGGTATAGAATATTTTTTAAGAGACAAACAATTATTATGTTACGAGTAGGAAAGTTTTGAGGAGTTGCAACTCAATTTTACGGCGTATATTTCCGCACTCTCAAATCATACATCATTTCCAATTCCACTAACGATTTAACTTATTTTTTCCGTATTGAAACATCAAATATATTTAATCAAACTCACATTTGTATATTTGTTGCGTAATTAATCAACGTAATTTTTGACATTGTTCCGTACAACGTTACTTAGCATATTGCTTCATGCATACACAATACAAGAGCTATGTTTTACAGCCAATAAGGTCAAGACGTTAGTTTTATTAATCTTTGGAAGTGTTTTGGCCTCTAGAGAACGTGTAAGGACTTGAATGTTTGGCAATTTGGGCCAGAGCCACGACAGCGCCGCTTGTGAACGACGCTCTACCTAGTTTGGATCTTAGCTCTTTTGGTTCTGAGGATTTCTCTGCCTAACCTTCACAATTTTAGATAAAATATATACACTATGCACTAAAATTGGTTTCCTATCAGGCTATCGTTTCTATTTATTGATATTCTATTAAGTGAAATAATTGTAAACGTGTAGAAAAGTATTGGGAATTTTGAGTTAGGAAATTACGTGGCTCAAGGATCAATAGATTACGGATTTCTGGTCTCATTCAAAAGAAAAAATATATGCTCAGTATTTGTGCCTTAAGTTGAGTTCTTCGGTTTGTTCTTATCTAAACACTTTTTTATTATTTTAAAAAGATTTGTATAGTGTTTATTTTGTAAATCTTTAAATAGTTCGACAGGATAAGCAGCATTTTACATTCCGGGTTAAGAGTGATTGAAAATGTGGGTTATATAATAAGAAGTAGCATCAAGAAAACTACATACTTGAGCATTGTTGTGAGCGATAACTATACGCACCCAGAAGATATGTTTAAGGAAGTGGTTTTAATGTAAACTTAACTAACTGTAAAATTGTATTAAGCTAGGCGTCAAGTTAAAATACTTTTATAGTCATTGTCATGGATGACTAAGTAATTTATGTGACAGTAGAAATTGATTTACGTTTCTTGCATTCATATAGAGCACACAAATATTAAATTAACTAAAGTAAAACTATATATAATATATTATTTGAGGAATATACCGTTGAAAGCATTAACTATCAGGCTCAAAAACCACACAATTTGCTACTTGGTGAAAGGAAAAATATTTGACGAATCAGTAAATTGTTTTACGAGGAATAGGCAAAGAGGATTCAGAACTGTCTGATGCTGTTTTCCAACAACTGACAGAACATGGTCTGTTTATTGCAGCGTTTCATGTCAGTTATTTATAGCACCAATTTACACTGAAGTGGCTTGTAATGAAATGCCTGGTGCTGATACAAACTGAAATATAGCCTAGAACATGCCGATTCCGAGTTCACAAAAATCTTCAAAAATCTTTCTAAGTTAATCCAGCCACCCTTAGGTCAGGTTAGGTTATTGTTATTAGGTGTGGGCGGTATAATACCAAAGTACCTCTTATTGTTTTAAGACTTTTTGGCAAATATAATCGTCTTTCCAACAACATTAGTTTTTTTTTTTCAATTGGGCATTTGAGATACTGTAAGATGATTGTTATATCATTGATATACAAATTTAATATGTTTTTTCCAGAACAAGGACATAAAAGAGTCTCCAAAATTTCTTGTTTATAATATCTAAGTAGTAAAAAATATTATGATAACAACTCCATATTAGATACAAAATAAAAGTTTAGGTTTTATCTCAGAATTAAAACTAATCTTTAGTATTCCTAAAAGCTACTACCGACCTATATATTCTAAATCCTAGCTATTAGTTGTCAAAGCTCTGGCAGTAGAGAGGAGTCAACACCAGCATTCAATATAGAGCTGCTTCCATCAATCCTGCCCAGCCAAGTGACTCAGTACTTCACAACAAACCCAACTGTCCATTGAATGTGGACAGGGGTGAGTTAATGAAATTCCAGCCTTTACTGTTATCCAGCACCACATGGCGTTAGTTAACTAAACTGTCGTAATAGAATAACTGGGACGTGTTTGAACATTTATTTTATTAGGTCTGTCTTTTTTCACTTACGTTGAATTAATTTTAAAATATCGATGCATCTTATCAACATCAATTTACAATATTTAAAGTTTATCTGTGTTAACATTACCTTAAAAGTTTTGTATATGAAACTAAATAAAAATAAATCAAATAAATAAATAAAATAATAATAAATGTATTTTTTAATTATCAACACAACTATAATGGGTAAAAGTTGAGTTTACAGCCAGAACAATATTGACTATATCCCTATCCAAAAGATATAGATGAAGTATACCTTATTTTATACAACAATGCTGATTAACTATTTAGTATTCCAATTTATGTTTATTTTAGGGAAATATGCAAAAAATAATAAATTTTACTTAATTTCATGCTGAAAACATTGAAATAACGTAAAATAAAGTGGAATGTGTCAAGATTTGGAAGAAAACTGTTCAACGTTTCTCTGTTGTTGACACTTAAAATTGCTCTTTTATTTCAGTGGTAAAATGCTCTCTCCATAGAACCATTTACAATAATTTTATTTACAGCCGTTCATTTAATGACTCGCCTTTTCATGTCAAATACAGCATTTAAATATGAAACTAAAAAAAAACTTTTTTATTTTGTACAATTTCCCAATGAATATTTTGTTTTATGCATGCAAAAGCTATGTATTTAATACTCATATACAGGGTGTACTGTCGGTAAACAGCAAATATCGGGAAATAGTTCCACAAGTCAAAATTAAGAGAAAATAAAAATAATTTTTTTCAAAATCACTTCCTTAACCAAATATCCACCGTTTCGTTTTTTTCACATTAACATTTTTATTTTTAAAGTTTTTCAACCGATCATAATGAAACTTGGTTTGTGTGTTAAGATAAAAGAGACCCACGTTTAAATAAAAAATCATCTTTTGTCTGTTTACTATCGGGACACTCTGAATAAAACCCGATCTATGTTTCAATATAAAACTCGACAATAAAAACTTGTGTATGAATTATGATTATAAGAGCATTCATGACAGACCATGTATTTGTTTTTTGCACTGGATAATAATATCGATACACTTTGTATTTAAATTCTTAAGAACGTTAACAAACACAGTTGCATTCGATTTTTCAATGAAATCAATGAATGTTCATGTTATATTATGATTTTTAGATGAGTATAGCTTTTAATTTCCTCAAAAGTCAGAATTTAAATTTCAACCTGGTTTTAAAGTTTCAAGGAACAGCTTTAACAATTACTCATTTTATTATCTTATTTCATCATCCGTATTCTTAGAAGTTCATATTTTTTTACGCATCAATATTTCCTTTCTTGGAAAGAAATGTTTAACTAACTGAACTGGTAGAAACGCTTGTCTATCAAACTATTACACTTTATAGCTATTACACATACACCAAAGTAGCTTAGTTCTACCATAGATAAAACATACTCCCTTAGTAGATTTCTCATCCTTATGGAACAGCTGAAGACACTTTTATTGTTAGTTCTGTACGGTTTATGTAGAGG